CATTGGCTGCCAAAAGAACCAACAGATCTGTGTTGGAAGAAGTGCGGCCAGAGTGCTCGTTGGAGGCCAGGATGGCCAAACTTCATCTCTCATACTTCAGACACATTGTCAGGAGGGACCAGTCGCTGGAGAACGATATCGTATATTGGTAAGGTGAAGGGTCAGAGAAAAAGAGGAAGACCCCCAGCGAGATGGATTGGCCAAGTGGAGGCATCAATGGGCTGAAGCGTAGCAATGATAGTAAGGTTGGCCCAGGATCGGGCAGTGTTTCCGTTCTGCTGTGCATAAGGTTACTATGTGTCAGTACTGACTCGATGGCACCTAACAACAACAACATCTGTAGTGAAAGAAGACCTGGTAGCACAATGGAATGGTTAAGCACTTGGCTGCTAACTGAAAGGTTGGTGGTTTGAACCCACCAATCACTTGGAGGGAGACAAGACCTGGTGACAAGCTCCTGTAACAGTTCAGACTCATAGTGACCCTGTGCGCAACAGAAGGAAACACTGCCTGGTCCTGTGCCATCCTCACATGGCACATGGTATGCGCACATGAAAACACCATGGCTTGGGTCAGGCGCACTTTAGACTCTAGCGACATCTTTGCTCTTCAACACTTTAAAGAGGTCTTGTTATCTTTGAGCCCAAAGCTGCTGCCACTTTGTCAGTCCATCTTGTTGAGGGTCTTCCTTTTTTTTTGTTGACCTCTACTTTACCAAGCATGATGTTCTTCTCCAGGGACTGGGCCCTCCTGTTCCCATGCAATATTTGGGACATACTTATACTAAAAAGTTTTCATTGTTTATCTGAGACTCAAATTTAACTGGGTATCTTGTATTTTACCTGCTAAATCTGGCAGCCGTGAGTAGAAATGGTTCAACTCTATCAGAAGAGCCTAGATGTGAAATTCCACCCCCAATTCTGTGAGCTGGTGCTTAGTGGGTTAAAACCCTTTTTCCTCTCTTACCTAAGGTTCTATAATTAGAATAAAAAGAAAAACAGCTTGTGGAAGGAGAGACTACTGAGAGAAGGGTTTTTAATACTTTTTTTCCATTCTCTGTTTAAACTCTTTGAATCATTGTTCCCAATCATTACTGCCCTAAGTTTTCTCTGTATGTGCTCTAGAAACATATAGGCTATGGATTTAGTGCCACATAGTTGATTTAAACCTAGGAGAAGAAGACAAGCCAGGAGGAATACCAGAGGGCCATGGTTTCTCATCCCTTGAAAGAATGTAACTCTAAGACAAAGGTTTCCACAAAGGGCCATGAACATTATTTGGGGCAATCACATCCCAAGTGGAAATAAGCTGTATCCCTGGATGAGAGCCATGAAACTCAGAAAAGACTGTAATGATGCAGATAGAGTGTATGGAGAAGGGTATAAGAGTTCTCATGTATGGGAGAAGGTACGGCTGTCTCTCATTGCCTTCCAGATCTGTAAACAAAATGTATGTTCATTCTCACTCCGTCTCTGATATTAGCTACTGGGGCTGGTGGTCAGACTTTTTTTTAAAATTGTGAATTGAGTGGAAGTTTATAGGGCAGATCATCAGTTTTACATTCAACATATCATACACCTTGTTTCATTACAATGATTATAATCCCCTCCATGTATCATCAGATAACAGTATTTCTATTAATTTTAGCTTTTTTTTCAAGCACTCAGGCATATGTAATAATTTACACCAGCAAAGGACACATTCTGCAAGTCTGTCTCCTGGCTGCTAGCTCTCTGTTCCTCTCTTCCCATGAATCTAGATTCCTCAGTGGTGGTCAGACTTTCGTCCAGTAACACTAATGGGGGCTTCTGTCATCTCTGGGGTTATAAATTTGATAGATAACCCCATTCACCTCTTCTTGGCACCCTTTCAGCCCAACTGGTACCTGTACAAGCCTCTGGCTGCCCCCAGGGCTAGGAAGATGCGCACACCAAATTCGAGATTCTGTTCCTTATCCAGCAGCTCCCTCAAGGTCCCCAGGTCACAGTGCTCCATGATGATGCAGAACTTAGTGGGCTTCTCTGAGAGAAAGAAGCAGGACACTATGAAGAACCAGGCCCACTTAGAGTCCACCTCTACCCTCATCTCCAGAGAGACAGACTTGACTCTGCTGTGATTCCCATTTTTCTCCCCCTCCCCACCCCATTTCACCCAGTGTGCATCCCAACATCCCTGATTGGGTCAAATCCCCAAGTCCCGTCTTCATGGTATTTACCATTTTGTAATTCTACAGTTGCTTGTGTAATTATTTGAGAAATGGCTTTCTGACTCACTGTAATCCAAGAGGGCAGGAAATGTGTCTGGTTTGTTCACTGAACTCACAAGTTGTTGTTATTGTTAAGTGCCATCGAGTCGGTTCCAACCCATAGCAACCCTGTAGAGGGTTTCCGAGGAGTGGCTGATGAGCTTGAACCACCCACTTTGTGGTTCAAACTGACCTTGCAGTCCAGTGCATAATAAATATGAGTAGAATGAATGAATGCCACCTATATGAGAGGGTCTGGAGAGGAGAAGTCAGATAAGAAGTCAATGTCTCAGGTCACAGGCCTGAGATGCAAGGACAGGCACAAAAGTGTAAATTAATCACCTCTGCTATTCCCCAAGAGAACACACATCACTGAAAGCTGTCCTCTAGATGAGAATTGTACTCCAAACTCAGGTCTGTCTGAGGTTGTGGAGAAATGTCCAAAGGAGATAACACAGTATTGGCTTGGTTCTTTCTTAGGGTAAGAGCAGACAAACATGACCAGCAGGAGAGACCAGATCATGAGAGAGAAAATGTAGTCACATTAAAAAATGAAAATGAAAAAGTGACTAACACATGAACATTTTTGCAGGCTCATTTAGTTTTTACATTTTGTTGTTGTTGTTAGGTGCCATAGAGTCAATTCTGTCTCAAAGCGACCCTGTGAACCTATCATAGAATGAAGTCCTGCTTGGTCCTCTGCCATCCTCACATTCCAGCCACTGTGTCATCCACCTCACTGAGGGTCTACCTTTTTTTTTTTTCTTCTGATCCTCTACTTTACCAAGCATAATGTCCTCCAGGGACCGGTCCTGCTTGATCACATGTCCAAAGTATGTGAGATGGAGTCTTGTCATCCTCACTTCTTAGAAGCATCCGGGTTGTACTTCTTTCAAGAGATTTGTTCATTCTTCTGACAGTCCAGGGTATATTTAACATTCTCTGCCAGCACCATAACTCAAAGGCATCAATTTTTCCTTGTGTTTTCTTATTCCTTGTTCAGTTTTCATTGGCAGAGGACGCAATTAAAAATACCATGGTTTGGGGCAGGTGCATCTCAGTCCTCAATGTGGTATCTTTGCTTTTTAAAACTGTAAAGAGGTCTTTTGCAGCAGATTTATCCAATGAAATATGTCATTTGATTTCTTGACTGTTGCTTCCATGGGCATGGATTGTGGCTCCAAGTAAAATGATACATTTGACAACTTCTATCTTTTCATGATGATGATCCAGTTGTGAGGATTTTTGTTTTCTTTATGTTGATGTGTAATCCTTACTGAAGACTGTAGTCTTTTTGGATCTTCATCAGTAAAGGCTTCAAGTCTTTTTTACTTTAAGCAAGCAAGACTGTGTCATCTGTATATCATAGGTTGTTAATGATTCTTCCTCCAATCCTGATGCCATGTTCTTCTTCAAACAGCCCAGCTTCTCAGATTATTTGCTGAGCCTACAGATTAAATAAGTATAATGAAAGGATACAAACCCGGGGTACCCCTTTCCTAATTTTAAATCGCTCAGTATCCTCTTGTTTTGTTTGAATGACTGCCTCTTTCTTGGTTTATGTACAGTTTCCTCATGAGCACAATTAAGTGTTCTGGAATTCCCATTCTTTGCTATGCTATCCATAATTTATTACGATCTACATAGTCGAATGCCTTTGCACAGTCATTAAAACACAAGTAAATTTCTTTCTGGTATTCATTTTTCATTAGATTTATATGATTTACATTAGATTTAAAGATGACCAAGGGTGGATTCCTTGTTTGGATCAGTCAACTTTATGATGTTTCAGATCAATAAAATGTTGATATGAACCCAAGCCAGCATCTGAACAAGAACCCTCTTGGCTCCCAGAGGAATGGCAGGAGGAGACACAGCCACATTATTGTAAACCAATCCTCAGGTAGACTTGCCCAACTTTAACCTTGCTCTTCTGAAAGATGGGAACTTACATCTTGGATGTAATAAAGTTAATGATGAAAATAATAACACTGTGTAGATACCATCCTTTCAATTAAAAAAAAAAAAAAGGCAACACTTTACAGCACAGGAGATAGAGCTATATGCCAGGTGATTGAAAGTATGATCAAGTCCAGAAAGATCCCTTACCTGTTTCATCAATGCAGATCCCAAATATACGCAGGATGTTGGGAGAATCAAATTTCTTCATGGTTCTGATCTCATTTTTGAATGTACTCCTCACTAGTCTATGACAGTAAAAGAGGAAATTAGATTGTGAGGACTGGAAAGTCTCTAAGAGAATTTTGAATGTGGTGACTCTCTCTGTATGTATCACAGGAGAAGTATCATCAGCCTAGCTTGGTAGTGAGAACTATGCTGAGCTCAATTACTGGAGGCAGAATGGTTAAGATTCACTTTGTTGTTGTTGTTGTTAGGTGCCAACGAGTCAGTATCGACCCATAGCAACCTTATGCACAGCAGAACGAAACACTGCCTGATCCTGGGCCAACCTCACTACTGTTGTCACGCTTGAGTCCATCGATGCTGCCACTT